TCCGTATTTTTCGCCCCTAATTTTTGAAGAGATTAAAACTTCATCAACTCAGTATAATCTGTGTTCACCTCTACTTATGAAATTGCTCTATTAATCGCTTTCTGTGCGAATCTAGCGTTGCACGCGAACCATTAACATTAAAAAGTGACTATTTTGTATGTAGGTTAATAAGGTGTCAGTTAATTTGAATAAGAATGTTGTTGGTCACATTCATTTAATAATTGGTATTTGCACACTTGTGTAACAACGTAAAATTGTTGTCTTTCTTAAACTTCAACGTCTTTGTTAAAATATTACATGTGGTTTAATTCACCACTAAGAAACTTTGTAATATATTATTTTAACATTTCATGCTTAATATTTTAACAAAGACGTTTATTGTGTTTCTTAATGATCCACTAAATATATTTGATTTATTTACAGATGGTTGCACAGTCCTTGTGTTCTTTACTAGGTTATTTCCTTACATACGACTCACTTCTCTTGGTTATTTATTTACACTGTTCACTTCTTCTGATTATTTATTTACACTGTTTGAGAGGTATTATGTAGTGTTGCAGCGAAAAGTCGCGATATTTCGACAGAAGAAAACTAGTATTGTGAGTCTCTGATTCCAAAATAATAGTAATTCTTTCTCTTATCATTATATAGTATTTCAGTAAAAGTCTTGAATGTGCGGATGCGCAGATGTGTGTCTCTCTTACTCCGTCACTCGCGGCTAGACCACTCCCCGTGCACCAATCGAGACGTATGAGGTGTCATTCGACGCGTCTCGGTCTGCTGGTGGGGGACTGATAATGATGGGGGCAAATCGGGGCAAACGATGGGACAACGTTTCTGCTCTGCGATAATTTGTTTTCGGGTCCCATTAGAAGATTTAAAGAAATTTCAAAAAACGTGTTTTTTGTGTTTTGACACTGCTGTCTTATTGAAATGGCAAAAATTAAACCAACGCCTCCTAAATCGATATATGTAGACTTGTTACACAAGTGTGCAAATGCCGATTATCAAATGAATGTGACCAACGTATTCTTATTCTAATTAGCTGATACCTTATTAACCTACAGACAAAATAGTCACTTTTTAATGTTAGATTCGCGTGCAACGCTAGATTCGCACAGAAAGCGATTAATAGAGCAATTTCAGAAGTAGAAGTGAACACAGATTATACTGAGTTGATGAAGTTTTAATCTCTTCAAAAATTAGGGGCGAAAAATACGGACGTTTTAAGGAAATCCGGGGAAGAACCAAATGTTGTTGTAAAAGATGTTGCGATAGAATTTTCGGAACTAATTAAGTATGATTTTCATTTTTGCATTTAGAATTTGTACTAATGTGCTACGCCCATTTTTGGGCATATTACCAAAAAAGCGTAAAAATGTAGCTGTACTAAAATTTTACTATTAGCATCAAAACCAGGAAGTATATGTTAGGCGATTATAATTTTGAAATTTCAATAAGAACAGTCCGTGTGAAAGTAACACACAAGGCTATTGGGCATTAGGAACTTTTGAACGGGAGAATAACATTTTCAGTTACTACGTTACTACAGCAAGTCCAATGCCAGATATTGAAAGAACATATTTAAACAAAGCTGGGCATGAAAGAAATTTTCAACTCATGAAACTATTTTTAAAACCGTTTACAGAGTCGGTGACGCCACAGTTTGCTAGTATGTGTAAATTACTTCCTCTGATACGTTGTGCAGTCAGAATCCACATTTTATGGTTCCATGTTACCGAAAATTTGGTTTACGACTAAACGACTGTCTGTCCGTTCGTCTGTCTGTGGACAACACAAGGGCGGAAATCGTAAAGACAATTTTCTCCAAAACTGACATTCCCTTATCGAATTGGTATAATCGAGGCCCAGCAAATTTGAAATGGTTAGTAAGAATTTTGGAAGAATTTAACAAATAGCCTCATCACCATTTTGAAACTTTTCTCAAAGATAACTCAAAGTATTTTGATTACAACCACAAAATGAAATGATCGCAAGACTTTAGTGGGAATTCCGTGCCATATGCCGCATGTGCCAATATCGAGTACGCGCGAGATATTTGTGCACTCGACTACCGTTAAAGTGCGAGCGGGACCCACGAGAAGACTGCACTGTAGACACATCTACCCACACCATCGCTGTTAGGAGAATATTGGGCAGTCTGATGCAAGCTAAGTATTTTAATGTTTACTTGGTTTTTCCTGTGCGTTTTTTACGTGAAATGTGAAAGTAATTTTTTTGTGTCGAGCAGTCGATGTTTTTCAGACGGCATTCAGTGTTGTCGTTTCCCTCCTCTATGACATCAGCCGGAGCTCAGATTCCTCGTGCCAAGTCCACCCTAAAGATGATCATGTACCATGCCATCTATTATAGGCATGAAGAAAATTATTTCTAACCTATACTGCAAGAAATTACTAGAACGTGGAAGAAAACACTAATTTTACAGTTAACTGGTTAATTATTTTTAAATTTTCCTATGGACGTTGTTCACATATCTCTTACAATCCTAACACGTACTTCTGGAAGAACACATACGACCACAGTTTGAGAATCTCAGCGTTATCTCAGTTATCTTGCCCTTAGTCAACTACATATAACTGAAAGACATTTGCTAACTTAGGAATAAATAGCAATAAATGTGACAGCTCCTTTTTCAATGTACTCTTCCTCTCAGACTGTCACTATTCTCTTACGAGTATCGAGTCATACGTGATACAATAAACTGTTCACAGAAAAAGAAAAGGTAGAATCATTTTATCCTCTGTTTCATAATTGATTAGTATTATTAGATGAACAATGCGAATCGCTGTAGCCAGTCAATTGTTTTATCAAGCAACCCGCTTGTCATCGGTGCATTACAGTCTTTCATATTAAAATTCCATTGTCATTGCACATTAATATTATTTGAGACACCGAAAAGAAATAGAAGGAAATAGAAAAGAAGAAGAAACATAATGATTAGAAGGAGAAGAAAACGAAAAAGAAGATCTGAAATTTGGGACTGTACGCCAATTGATACAAAATAAACTGAGGGGCTCAAAAGATGGTGGATGGGACTACAAGGTGGATAAAAGCGGAAGTACGGGATCAGTGGAAGGCGATATTTGAGGAAGGAGAGGCTCATCCCCGGCGGCAAAGTTAAGAAATCAAAAGTTTATTAAATAAATAAATAAATAAATAAATAAATAAATAAATAAATAAATAAATAAATAAATAAATAAATAGTAGGAATTGTCAAGCGAATATTATAGTCAAATTAGAGTCATTATTTCCCTGATCTGATCTGATTAGAGTGACTTGGTCGGATTAGGTCGGCTCGGTCGGTGAAGGTCGGATTGGCCTACTGTTGATTTGTGGAAACGAGAAAGGATTGTGCTTTTCGGGGACCGTTGAAGGAAATTTCTTATTTATGAATTGGCACAAATTTATTCGAATTAGTTCAAATTTCTACTATTGTGGCGATTTCTTTTAGAAATTGGCGACGTTTTAGAAATTAAATGCCACGTCGATGTGTTAATCTCAGAGCAGTCCTGGGTCTTTTGAAAACAGTTTGAAGGACTAATTTAAAATGTTTCCTTAAATCAGTTTGTTTGAATTTTTACTTACCAGTCAAAAACGATAAACGACGCATTGCTGGGAAGGGATGATTACCCGATGTATCCAAAATGTCCAGTTGGTATACTTCACCTCGTATGCGATACAATTTACGATGAAAATCTTCGATGGTGGGAGTATAGGAGTCATCAAATTTGCTATTGAGAAACCTGCAGAAAATAAGTCGAAAAAATGATCGCATCAAAATTAAAACTTTTATATAAGAGCTGAAGCTCAAAATAATCGTAGCTTTGTTAGAGAACTTTAATAGTTATTAACGTGCACTAATAATTCAATTACATGCAAATAACGAATGAAGATGTATATTATTCCATATATCGTTTCATCGTAAAAGCCTAAGATGAATTATTTTTTAATAATTATCACCGTATCTTTCCCAGGCAATTTTCACCATACCTTTTCCAGGCATATTATTAATTCATTTTTATCTCCTGGAAGAACGTAAAACAACATCTGTACCAATTTGAAGTTCATTTTCTTAGATCTAGAAAAAAATAAACAAATAAAATGAACATATCTGGGATTTATTTGACAGGGTTCACAAATCCAGACGTTAAAATAAACCTCTCTTCATCAGCATCAAATCAATTCGAATCGAAATTTAAGGAAAAGTATTTCTCCAGCTCACATATTTTTTAAATGGGTTAGTTTGATATATTGACATCAAAAACAAAGGATATGACATTTAATTTATCTTCCACGCCACCCATCTTGATCAAGTTTTTGCCCAGTTTCCCTGATCCATTGAACAAATGCTGAGATGGCCCCTTGTTTTGCTTCTGGACGTAAATGTATCTTTACTATGAGTGTGTTTGTTGAACTCTCCTTTTGCTTGTAATGGTAGGAGTAGAGACAAGGGTGAGTTGCTATTTTTTTAGCAATACAGATAAATCATACTTGCAATTCGTTTACCGATGGAAATAAATTTTCTACAACTCGTGAAAGAAAATATCCATTTTTTTCAAATATTGCTAATCTTGCGCTTTTTAAAATTTATTTTTATTTATTTTAAATTTTTCCTCACCTCTCAACTATTTATAGTTAAAATGATGGGAAGAGATTCTGGAACTCAAGAAAACGTGCGCAGTTGAGTTTCTCCACCATACGTCACATACAATTTTCACTGTTTTTCTGACTAAATCTAAATAAATTGGTACCATTTGATTTTGAGTGGAAAGAATATATACTGATGACTTCAGATCATTTACCTTAGAACCAGCGACCGCAAAACATACTATTTCTAGTATTTAAGACATTATCAAGTTTCTTTGAATTCTTTATTGAATTTTTATGTATTGTTTTGAAAGTATAATGTCACTCTCGTTGATGAAATAGCATAATTAAAGATGGTGACTTGTCTCACGTTCTTCCAATTACCGAATTTGTAACGAACGGCTGTGTGCGTGTGCTCAAAAATGGATTGTAGCTACCAAAAAAGTACTCGAGATGTGAAGGGTCTGTTGTGTAATTGAAGTTTAGATGTGTGATTTTATTTGGAAATATTTTAACTCGGTATTTAGTTTTTAGTCCATTGGGACGATGTTACATATGTACCCATGAATTATTGATGCATAAATCGAGAGTAGTATTTAATTCTTTCAGGAAATGAACGCGGGCCATTTCAGTGACCGAACGGATGCTCTTCCGTCTGGGCTATAGGGCAAAAGTTACTCCCGCGACAGTTTATCGATCTTGTTCCACCTAGATCAGATTAAATATAAGTACCACCTAGATCTTGTACCACCTAGATCATATAAATATAAGTATATAATGGATGAAAGGTGCACCGTATGAATGAAATGTGAAACCTATTTTAGGTAGAGTCAAACGGACTAGTTGTAGCACCAATGAATGCCAAACCATCATAGGAATAACGTTTCCCTCCATACCTCACGCGGTAAGAGTATTCAGCTTGTCAATAGAAAACTTCGGTTCTTGGTGGAATGAAAAACTGTTCTTTGAGCGACCATTTTCATTAATTTCTAGACATCGGATATTTAGGCTATAAAATCTAGTTTACGAACCCAATGTACTTAAGGGCAAAATATGTTATATAATATTACTTCAGTAGATTATACAAATTGACATGAAAATAACTTTTTCATTCAATTTTTATTTTACTACAAACTTCATTAGAAACATCAGAATGAAATATTAAAATGAACACAAATAGAAAAAATTTAAAACATCAATTACTTTTTTACTCAATTCTTTACAAGCAGAAATGGATAGTTCTATTTCAACATTTGTAGATGGTGCATATTTTAATTTTGGAATAACAGACAGTGCAACAATTGTCTGTTTCACTAGCGGATAATGAGCCACGTTTTCATATATTTTTTTGTTTCGCAAATCGGCCATCATGGGGCGACGCGATACGTCCATCACCCCGGGGCTCAGACTTCATTATCAGGGTGAGTGCACGTTACTTTTTCTGTAGGAGGAATTAGCATTATAGGTACAAATTAGCATAGTAGGCATTTTTAAACACTATAAATATTGTTCCTTTGTACGTGAACTAAATTGCGTTTCTAATTAATTTCCAGTGTTTACGCCATTTGAAGAATAAAAAACATTTGTTTAAAAATCCGAAGTTTAATAATTATAATACAATAGTAGTTTTAGTTCGTATGTACTACAATTACACATCGGCAGCCATACACGGCACCAAATCTGTTTAATCCAATGTTTAACTAAAATAGGTATCTCATTTTATTCGTATAATAATATTATACTCTTAGGTCATTGTACTGTTTAAAAAACTCATCATTTCGGCGTTTATTTGATTTCATCTGTACAAACGAATTTTATCGAAATAAAATGTTAAGAGTAAAATTCTAAGTGAATCAACATTTAATCTTAAACTATTTCAAATATACTGCAAGAATTTGCTCTCAATGAAATCAAGCCTCTTAGTTTACCTAATATTGCGTGGCTGGCTGATTATTTTCGAAATTTTGGATTCAAGAACGGTGGATAGTGATCTGCATATTTTATTTTTAATTTATGTTAAGATTTTCTAAAAACATTTCAACGATATTTTTTAACAATTCAAGTTGAAATTCACACCGAAAAATAGAAAGAATGAAAGCGAAAGCAAGTGAGTTTTGTCAATATATTGGTCTTTGCAAGAATATCATTTGAGTGAGACTTGTACAGTAGTATTTATAATTAGTGCAAAAAACCAAATGACATACATTTTATTTTACAAACTATAATGCCCTGGTGAAACGAACGTATATTTCGATAAGTATTGGAGCATTCTTGGCAACAAAATTCCCCCGTGTCAACATTGCTGAAGCTCCCTTCCTAGAAAGTGGGATGTTTCCTCTCAAACAAATTATCTTGTTATTTCATGAATTCGATATTTCGTTGTTGAAAAGGTCCCTACCTCGCTTTCTCGCCCCGTGCTCGGCAACGGGGGTTGGCTGGAGAGGGGGAGGGGAGACACGAGACTGAGCCAAATACTACGTATCTATCTCTATAGTATTTGGCAGAACACCTTGTGCAGCTCGACATGAAAGCGCGTGGCGGCGTGCGCAGGGGAGAAAAGCGACGACGGGGACGGCGGCGGGGCGGGGGTCACGGCGACAGCTACTGCGTTTACCTAGCTACAATGGACGTCTTGCCCACACGGGAGGAGCCCAGCAGCACAAGACGGAAGCAGTTGCGCAGCGGCGGCTTGCAACTGTCTTCGCAGGAAGAGGAGGAGCCCGGGCTGGGGCCGGGGCCCGACTGCTGAGTGCTCTGCGCGGCGGTGAGGGCGTCTGCGCTGGAGTCGCGGCCGAAGGCGGCGGCGGGCGCGTGGGCGGGGGAGGTGCACAGGCGGAAGACGGTGCCTCGCAGGCAGGCGGCCGCGGCGCTCAGGGCCACGTGCATGGCGCTGCATGNNCGGCAGCTGCGCCACCCGCGCCTCGGCCCGCAACTCTGCAACACAACGCACTCCTGCCACCACTCGCCCTTCCTCGCTCCCCTCTCTTCCACTACACTCTCAACAGTACACTGCTTCTCGCTTTAGAAACCTGCAATCATTACAGACAATTCTCAACCTTACGATGGCTCCACACATTCGTTATTTGACAAGTAGTGAGCTACCTTTCGTCGAATTAAAAGTACTGTGGCTTGAAACAGGAAAGAATGGCGGCGCCATATCGAAAGAATGGAGAAGGATCGTATTCCACAATTAGTGATGAACTACCTACCGAAGGGAAGAAGAGATATCGGCCGACCCAGAAAAAGATGTTCCTGAAGTGCAAAGTGGACACGGAACAGGCATTCCTGACTAATCCTTGAAATGGAGAAGAAGAATTAGTTAGTATGGTGTTGAACTTTTTGCGGTTGCTATGTTTTGTATTTAAGGAATGTGAGGGTGAGCGAAAAGCGGGGAGTTGCTATGCCGAGATTACTGCTGGGAGGTGATCCGAGTGGAGTTCCCAAAGCGTGTTTGTAAAAAACATAATTTAAGAGTTGGATATGGCTATGTCGAGGACATCCAGAAGCTTGTTAATGTCCTTCGGAATGTGAGGTGCTTCGACTGGTACAATTATGTGCAAATTAAGATCTGAGATGTTTTTTTGTACATACTTACCTGCTGGATTAGAAATTCTACACCCCCAGAATGTGTTTTTGGTATTCAAGTCTCCTAATATTATAGTTGATTAGTTAAGTAGGCCGTTGAAATTTGTTGTGTGAAGCTTTACTTTAGGTGGCGTGTATAGAGCTATTAGAGTGTGAATTTGGTTATTTATTGGTAGGTTTATCGCTGTGCACTCGAGATCTGGAATAGTAATGTAACGTACTAGCCAGCGAGCCTCGTGGCAGCTATTTGGGGACGCGTGGTAAGGGATTAGTAACAGGAAACCGCCTCGCCACAGGAGGGAGAGGTGGGATTTTCCTAAAAGCCAGCACGGGGAGCAAAGGGAGACACGAGGCTTTGGGGTCCTCTGGTCTTAAGGAACGGTGACCCAAACCTCATGGCAACTAAAGGGCGCTGCGGGTGCGGCGTCACGCAGTAGGTCACGTGAGCCTCGAGTACATAAAGGAGTGCAGAGAGCTAGTGGGTGGGTTCTGGAGACAGTGGGAGAACCTCATGCAGTTGCACAAAAACTTGGCGCCACGACGGTGCAGCGGCGAGTAGGGCTCGCGAGGCAAGTCACGTATTGACGAGCCTGTGAAGGACTTTGTGTCCTTGGGTGACTGCGGTCACGCGGGAGCGATGCTGTATGCGTGATCCTAGGTGAGGTGTAGAGCGGGAGCCGCCTCGCCACAGGAGGGTAAGAGCGTTCTTGCGATCAAGGCAAACCATCAGTTGGTGCGCCGGTTCGGACATTGCGACCCAGTGTGACATCCGGGCACGGAAGCTTGACTTTGTGCGCGCTTCAGATGTAGGAGTGGCGAGTGCCACAATTGAAACCGATCATCAATCGAGTTAGGATCGCTCCCGCGATTAGGGGATAGCAGGTCTATCAGAGCTAGGGTGTAAAGTGTAAATTCATGGTAAATATTTGTTGTTTTCTTTGTAAATAAATATTTGTTATATGAAAGCTCTGTGTCTGTGTTCGCTGTGAGTATCCATGACGTCACAGACGGATATGACGTTACGGTAGGCAAGTTAGTTTTGATGTGTAGAATAGAATTATGTAAAAGGAGTAGGACACCTCCGCCTGTTGATGAGGGTCTAACCTCTCTTTGTGTGTAGTATTTGGATATTTTAAAGCTGTCTTTAGGATTTAGATGCGTTTCAATGATTGCGGACATTTTTACATTGTTGGCTATTAAGAAATAGGATAATGCGGCTTTCTTGTAAAATTGCGTACTTCATGCGGCGTTCGTGTAAAATTCCATTGGCATTCCAATTGATGAGGACTAAGTTACTGTTGTGTTGATGCTTTACCAAAGCTATTGTTAAACGCTGACGAAATGGAATTTTGAATATTACTGATTAATGAAGGGATGATTGAATTTATTAAGTTGATAATAAATCGTGAGATGAAATTTAGAACTGAATTGATGAGTGGAGATTGTTCGAAATTACATTGTTAGGGGTGGGGGTCTATGTGTATTTTCATTATTTACGCGAGCTGAGGTATTTCTATTGTTGGCATTAGGAGGGGCGGGGTTAAAGTTTGTAATATTTTCTGTGAGAGGGAGAAATAGAAAGTTTTGGTTTGGAAGAGTGAGAGGAATATTATTGTTGTTGCTAGTTTTTTGTTCTGGTCTCACTGCTTTTGGTTGCCGACTCCAATAAGTTCTTGTAGTAAAAACATTTTGAAGTACGTAAGTCTGCCCGAAGAGCGCCCTTGCACAGTTTACACTTATGAGAATTCTCCTCATTAGGACACTTAACCGAATAATGGCGTTCTGCACAGAAAATACAAGCTAGTTCGTGCTTACAACTATTTTGGGTGCCCGAAATCAAGGCAACGAAGGCCTTGAACCGGGCCCTTACTCTTGTTCCTTTTGTATGGCTTTACATATACAGTATGTATGTACTTGGCGCGACAGCCCGTAAACGGGCTCACTGACGGCGACGTCCCTGCCTTGCAGCCATGGGTCTTAACTCCGGGATACGTGTGGTTAGCACGTAGACATCCCCGTGCCGTTATTTCGGTCTTCTCAACCTGAGAAGTGAATTTTCTTATCGTTACACAGCAAAAAATATTGGGACATAGCAAGGAAAACGAACAGTATAACCTTGCCTTACCGGGAATGGAACTCGGGGCCGCATAGTGGAAAGAGAGCACGCTGACCAAAAGCTAGTCACGAGGACTTACACATACAGTAGGTGGACAAATTATTAGGGGAAACACTCATATTTGTATAATTTCTACTTTAAATGTATTTTTAGCAAAGGATTTGGTTTTAATAAGATTTGTAGTATTACTGTTATCATTACTATTGTTTTTAATAAGTTACTACACTATGCCTGCGTTACTAAGAAATAAGTGATGCTACCTCTCATTCGGTTGAAGTTTGTTGAAAACTGCTGCTGTACTGAGAACATTCAAATATTTTTTTTAGTTGTTTCTTGCCAGTTTTTCTTTCCAAAGTAGTCAAAACGTAATTATTGTTCCTTACTGCATTACTTTAACTCAATTTTATGTGTGAATTTCATATCAGTTTGCAATGTAACGTCACGACCTCGAAGGTTTTATTTTTACTTTCTCACCTTACGAATTCTTCGTAAGAAGAGAATGTTTTGTTATCGTGCGACTGAAAACGCCGAAATTTCGCCAAAAAACAACAAAACCTTATTGTCGGCTTCTGGTAACAAAAAAGTGGATAGATCCTGTTGCTACATTTAGGGGGAAAATCCTCTAACTCCTGCAGCCAGAATCCATGTTTAGTTGGTTCTTGATATTGAAAAATCGATTAACGGCAAAACGTCCGTCTGTTTGTCCCTCTGTTTATCCGTTTGTGGTCAACATTGGCGACTGAACCGTTCAGCCGATTTTCTACAAACTTCATATTCACCTATCAATCTGACTGATGTTGCGGCCCTTGGAATTTAAAACGGATATTTTACTTTTTTTTGGGGGGGGGGTACTTTACATGAAGCCCCTCGGACCTTTTCAAACTTTTTCAAAAAATGGCTCCAAATTTTTTGATTAAATTTTGTTGTTTAATAGTGCGAAAGACGCCTAAGAGATTGGTGCAGGTCTCATATTCGGTGATATCCACGAGTTTTCGTAAACTGCAAAAATAATGTTAAAATATACAAATTTAAAGATAGATATTTTTGGCTCAAACAAAAACAGTTGAGGAAAATTACCTCTTTAAAAAGGTCATGTACAATTTTTTGAAGAAACTAGCAGTTTTTGCGTAATGTGCGCTTGAGATTTACAACAACAAAACAAAATTCTCAAAAACCGCTCCAAATGTTTTCTTTACGTTTTCTTCACATATGTAATATGTGACGGTAAGAAATATGGTACTCGTCCAATTTTCGGGTATTGCTCGTTTTGGTTTAGAAAATTTCAAAACTACAAATTTGAAGGTAGAAATTTTTGCGTCAGACAAAGTTTGTTGTACAAAATTATCTATTTAAAAATCTAGGCTGTTTTCTTTCGTCGCCCAAAAAACATTTTTCACATTTTCTTAATCACTCGGCTCCGTAATGCTAGATCTGAAACCACCATAAACTTAGTTCTATTATAGAATTATTCACTGCAAGTCGTAATTGGATAGCCGTGGTACCTAATTAGATGGGGGGATAAGGCCTGAGCTCTTCGGTCGGCAGGTTGGCAGGTTCAAGTCTTGGTCGGGAACTCTTATTTGTGACAATGCTGTGTTGCCGCACTAATGATATAGCCATTCAGATTGCTCAGACATTGAATAAGGATGAATGTGGATATAAGTTATGCAGACATTGATAGGAGCCATTGTGTGGGTAAGTGGGTATGTGGGACGAGAAAGGCTGATAATTCAGCAGTTATAGAAAACGTGCGGATGTCTTTCGTGCAAAGGGGCATTTAACTAATTAATTAACACTAAGATTACTGTTAGGGAGACTGTTGGTAGGTGGATGATGGTTGATAATAAAGGGTAAAACTCTTAAGAAACTGTTTTGATAAGTTTGGTCGAAAAAATGTATGGACCCAAGATGGCACAATAATCGTTAAAGATAACAATTCCAAAATTAGAAGAAACTGTGATGCTGATTTTTTGAAACTTTGTAATAGTCAACCTGCCACGAATTAAATTAATATGATAAACTACCTTGTTTGATATTTTATAGTAAGTTATTAAAGTTACGCCTCTTATAAAATTGCTATTCTTAACTAGCTAGGAAAAGAATATTCCAAGCTATTTCGGTATGTTAAACCCTTTGCGGAAACCACATTTCGGCGCAAGTGACCTCCCACCCGCCATGACTCCGT